TCTCTCTCTCTCTCTCTCTCTCTCCTGTCGTACAAATTTACACACACATGCCCTAGGTTATAGACTAGCTAAAGATACGTGAGAGAGTGAATGAGGCAGGAACGTAGAAGAAGAGAGACAGGGTAGAGCTGGTAGCACTTCACAGGAAAATGATGTTGATCCAGGTCGATACCTGTCATCCGCTAGTCGATCCACTGCCGAGATTGCTCCTAGCCCCGGATTCGCCTCGCTTTACATTGATATTCGTGTGTCCCCTGCCTGTACCTCGTATATCCGGGCACAATGAGGGCCAACTGTGTAACTCTATGACCATGACGATGTATTAGTGCGTTCAAATATGTAGTTATTAACTACACAATCCGTCCAAAGTCACGGAACTGAAGGGAGAAAAAAAGGACTATGAAATAGAACGATTATTTATAAAACAGAACGATTCCCGTAAATTACTTTATTTTTGCTGTAAATAAATAGTTGTACTTATATATATATATATATAATGCAATATGATTTTGAATAGTCTTACAATAAATAATTGTAAAAAAAGATTTAATTATGACATTATATAAATGTAAGCTTAGATAAATACTACTATTATTATTATTCATAGAAATGTCATACATTCACAATTCATCAATTATCAAAATAGTAGGCTCGGATACGTGAAGGCGAGTTGAATTTATCACCTTTGAATGACGCGAGTAACTTTAGCGAGATAATTACCAAGATTATATGATACGGGATGACGGCTGGCGCGAACATTTCGCAAACGCTGCCACCGTCAATCTACTTCTGCTTACTCTAAATTATTATCCTCTAACGGCGCGTCGAGCCAAACGGTTAATCCGCCGAACCGTGTCTAATTCCATCTGACGCGGTCTTTCGTTTGATAGTCTCTCTCTCTCTCTCTCTCTCTCTCTCTCTCTCTCTCTCTCTCTCTCTCTCTCTCTGTTCTTTCGCACGATGCCTTGTCAACGTGCAGACATTCTTGCGAAAGAGCTGCATTACCGGGTGCCACAAGCGTCATGCACACATCGCGTATAAATTTTCAGTATACATTTACATTTCTTGGCAATCGTTCGAGTAGCCAGTCCCTCATCCCAAATCTCTCATACTCTCTCTTTGTCATTTAAATTATATCTTCCGTACGGTCTGTCATATTCGGATGAGATAATATCAGTTTATGTAAATAAAATCCGAAAATTCTTCCTCAAACATCATTATTGAAAAATATGCATATACTTCTTACGGGAATAAAAATATCATTTGGTGAACACGACGGAGAGAGAGAGACTCGAAGATAGGGCGGAAATAGTATATGGATTAGAATGTAAATTAGCTTTGAGTGCCGTCACAATGCGACTTGATCTTGTTAGGTTTGGGAAATATGATGCTGACGGAGTGCATGTCAGTCACTTTCGGTGATAGGGAGGCGTTGCTTATTGGTTGGGGAGCGGCGGTTGAATACCAGGGCCAGGGGAGATATCATTATTTATGCTGTAAGTGTCCTCGGAACTCTTCTTTGAGCTACAAAGGTAGATTATATGAATCATGGATCTCGTCCCGAGGCTAGAATCTTAATGAAATACGCTTGTAAAAATTCAATCATGACACTCGTGAAAAAATCGACAAATTACTATATTGACCATTGACGAATTCACAAATTCGAAGAAATGCACGATAAAAGAAATTGAGATTTTTTTTATTGCACAATTGGAAAATTATGTTAAGTTTAACGGAGTCTCGAATAATCTATCCAAATTTTTGTATTAATTTAACTCAATATAAATATGTTATCTTTATAGTAATTTAATACTAAAAAAAAAATAGTAATTACTTTGAGTAATAAAACTACATTATTGCTTAGTACTCTTATTTAATATTCAAGATAAGTAATTTTATGTAGAAAGTAATACAAATATTGTTAAAATTAACACAAAAAATGTAACGCTTTGCTTACTTCGGAAACAAACTGTGAAAATATATTTCTTCAGTAAAATTAATACTTATAATTTATAATTAAATTAATACATACATTTATGTTTTTTCACTTATCTTATTATTAAAATTAATGTTTGAAAACTACATTATTTTCATTTTATTGTTTATTCATTTACTCATAAATTATGTTACAATATTTTAATTCTAAGAAATGTTAAATATTAATTTAATATGAAATATTGAAGTAGTATTTCAAAGAAATCGTATTATGTTAAATTAATACTCGGATATATTATTAAAAGTGTAATATAAAAATTTTATTGAACAAATACCGATTTTTCAGATTTCAAGGCAAATACAGAATGTTTTTTTCATTGTGCGTTTATAATAACTTCGTTACCATTTTAAAAGTGCGATTAATGAAAAATAAGTATTCGGATATAACGTTATTAAGCGTTTTGCAGGCAGCAGTAACGCTTGAATCGTTTCGTTTAAAATCGTTCGCTTTGGCCGCGATAGAAAAATCCAATTTGCCCAGGTCACGACGGGCGTACACGGTATAAAACATGCCTGTCAGTGGCGCGGAAAGCGGCTTCCACAAGAGTCGGTAATGCACGTGTCACGTGAGTGGCATAAAAGACAGGAGTGATGGAAGGCTAAATAGCAACAGTGTCGTGACATGCAACAGTGACCGAGCGGCCCCGCCGACTGTCCCTGTCCGCGTGCGGAGTCACTGCGGCGCGACAAGTTGACATGTTTGCACGAAGGCCGCACGCTGATCGCGCACGGGCATTAACAAATACTCTGTTACCCGCAGCAGGGCGGCAGGATACGTTCTACACGTGTACAGGATGCGCCGAAGGGAAGTTCATCGGGGACAGGTGGCCGGGAATCGCGGCGACACGCCGACGGGTGACTCGGTTTCCGCTGCGTTTGTCGCCACCACCGATTAGAATGGAATAAAAATATTTAAAAAAACACACACACACATAAGTCGAAACGGGAAACTGGTGCCATCGACTCTCCGTAACCGGCACTTTTCTTGTTTATCAAGAGTGGTTGCGCGCCGCGTGTACATACATGCGCACTTACGATTGCCACCTCCTCTTCGGTTTTCAACCGGAGGCTTCAGCTTTTTACTAAATCTTCGGCCAGCCAAATTTTACAGGGATGAGAAGTAACTTCGTTACTTTTACCGTTACTTTTTGTAATAACGATTTGGTAATGACGTTGCAATTTTTTACGACGATAACGATAACTAAGTAAAAGGTTGGGCAAGTCATTTTTGAAAAGTAACTTATCACCATTACGTGTTACTTTTACGCCCTCATTTTAACTCGTTAACATGTAACGAGTTATTTTTTTTTTTCCTTTTTTCTTCCAATAAATAACGCGTAATGATGATAAATTACTTTTCCAATCTTAGACTTTAGTTAGTTATCGTTACCGTTATAAAAATTACAACGTCATTGCCAAACCGTTATTTTCAAAGTAAAAATAACGGCGTTATTTCCCATCCCTGAAATTTTGACGACTTTTTTTTAAACTCCGTCTTCTGCACTCGTTAATTTTCCTCCGATTTTTTTGGAAAGATATCTTCGGTAAAAGAGGATCAAATCTGCACTGTTAAATTCATAATAAAATTAAATTATACTAAATTTAAATTGTTTTTAATCATTTCTACAGAGGTCGCCAGTAATCCTCCTAATACTCCATCCTCTAGTAAACATCAACTAAAAGTAACATAAAATCAATGGTATAATTTCACACTGAACAATATAACTGTTACGTACATATATTATATTACACTTATATTGTTAAGTGTGAATTATAATTTTCATGTTATGTTACTTTCAGTTGGAGTTTACTGAAATATATCATCAATTTAACTATAAAACAATGGAATTAAATCGATTTAACTTCAGAAAATATATTAAATTGAACTCAATCCAATTTATTATTTACTAATTTCCTAAGTGCATACGTTAATATAGACATTTTTCATTTTTAAAAACTAATCACAGAAGTAGATTGTGGTTTAAATTTGGACGCACAATGGAAGTTGAAAATAACAACATGTTATTTAACTCAAGGGATTGGGTTACCATTGCTTTTTTTAATATTTAACAGTACGATGATCTTTTTTTAGAGAGGAACATGCACTAGAAGAAAGTTTCAATTTCAGCAATTTCAACTATCGATCTCCTGCCGGAGAGCCGTCAATTTTCCGTGAAACACTAGTCGAAAGGTGCAACCGTGTTTACGATCCGCGTATCTTATTTTCGTAAAAATGCTCGACTGGCGCTTGGTAACACAAAGATTAAAGCCGCAACGAAACAATTTAAGGCGGGGAAAAGTGGCGAGAAAAGCGCTCGCGTATAAACGTTGTCCTCGACGTTATACCACAGTGCTCTACGTTCCTTCTTTACGAGCCCCTTGCAGCAGCCAGCCGCCACGTATTTTCCTCTTCCGTAATGTCTCCGCGCGGGTCTTTTGTTCCCCTTCCTCGATGCGGCAGTTTCGCCGTAACATATAAAGTTTGTGTTTTCTTGCGTGGCATATAGTTGGCTGTTCTCGCTGGCATAAAGCCGGAGAGGTCGCCGGAGGAGTTAGAGGCCGCTTTAGGACGATGTACGGTTTAGCTCTCCTCGTCTTTGCTGAAAACGCTTTGAGCGAGACACGAATCGGATATCTAGGTCGAGATATGACTACATAGTTACAAATAGTGCCAATGTGCAACGTCGCGTTTCAGTTCGAGTATCAATGCAGATGTCTTCGTTGACGAAAGTGGCGCATAAAAAATTATGTACATGTGTTTAACAATTCTCTAGAAGACAGACTGTATTAACTATATTATGCAGTTAACGACACTCGCAAAGTACGATTCAAATATAACTCGTGCATCCATTACCGAGAACGTATTGTCTTCATACGAGCGAAGTAATTGCTATTTCGTAGCCATAACGAATGACTTACGATTATGTTTTCTCCAAGTCCTTTGAAAATCGGCGGAGAGAGGAGGATCCAGAATGGGTCGGCACAGAGCAAAGTAGCGCAATCTGCGAGACCGCCACTTGGCTGTAACAGATACGCCAGGAAATAAATGTCTGTATAAAGGAGTTGGCAAGTTCGCCGGATGATATCAAGATGCCGCCGGCTAATACTGCCCGCCAGTATTAGTCCAAGGGTAAGACGACATTTCACCGAGAAAATGTACCCCCCCTCCCCTCCTCCCCTTTTGTTACGCGCCTATCTCTCCCCGGTCCCGGCGATACCCTCTCCGATATCAAAAGAATTTGGCTTTATTTTCCTTTTATCCACCTTGGAGAACGACACGCTGTATCTAATAAAGAGAAATTATGTCTCTGCGAGTCTCGGACTTCTGCCCAGAATAGCCAGACAGCGTGTCGTCTTTCATCGGCGATGGTCGAAGCCCCGGTAACCATGCCTGCCTGCGGTAACAATGCGAGCTCGAGTTTCGCCTACTTTGTAAGTAACGGTCAAACGACGATCGTAAGACGCTAAGTGCTCACGAGAGCTTCACGTGTATTGCAACGTCGTATTCTTGGAACGTTTGTGAAGTTTCAATTTAAACGGCGATTATGCGACACGAAATAGAAGAGAGGTAGTCGTGCACAATCAGGTTTTCAGTATTCATTAATAAAAGGTATTTCTAACGAAATTAAGAAAATGAAACACACGTTTCGTTAAATTGAAACTTCATAAACGTAACCAAGAATACGGTACCATATCGGCGTGCATGATAGCAAAGTGGCACAGCTCAGAATTAGCAATTTTTTTAGTAAACGTTTTTAAAATTCTTTCTGAATTGGGGAATAATGTTTTAGAATAGTAATAGAAATATAATATGTAAAATTTTACTTTCTTTAATAATATAGTTAAAATATATATATGGGAGGTTATTTCAAATAACTGACATTCCTAAAGAGAGCCTATCTCACTAATTTTCAATTTCACTTATTTTACTTTTGACAATGTTATCTATAACAGATTTTTAGAACGCCCATCGGCTCAGTTATCTCTCATTATCGCGAATTAGATATTGAGTGATTTGAAGGAGAGATCTAGTGCTTTCCAGCAAGGAGATAGTCAGACACAGTGAATCATTACATCCTTGTTGTTTGCCTACATTAAACAAGGATAAAATGATTCACTATGTTACACAGTGTCCGATTGTGTCCTTGCTGGAAAGCACCCATCATTGGAGGTTATCTTTAGTAACCCTTTAGCGTTTTATCTAAGATAAGTGGTCAACATCGTATCACAGCAGTTCCTCAAAATAGAGCACAAGAAATATTAAATATTTTAAATTCTATACAACTGACTTGATCCAATTCATTTTGGAATTAGAAGGCCAAACATTAAATTTTCTGGACGTTACTATAATAAGAAGTAAGAATGAAATTGAATTGATTGGTTCCATAAGTTTTTCTGGTTGATATTGAAATTTTTACTCTCAGCATTTTATTGTTGTTAGTTTTCTTTTCATATTAGATTTTTAATTATAATGTCATTCTCTTACTTCAAAAGTGACAGCTCAAAAAAATTAAGTTTTCCAGGAAAGAGGAAAAATTATTTTTCAACTTGACAAAAAATTCGATAATCAAATAATCGATAAAAAGAATATATATATTCTTAAGTAATCAAAAATCATTCTTATTATTTTTGTTTCACAACTGTTAAAAAATTATCTTCCTTTAGTTATGATAATTTTGACAATTTTTTTTAATCATGTTTTTTAGTTTTAACATACGTTTTTTCATAAAGTTAAATTAATTTACTTTCGATAATTGATAGGGTAACGTTTAACTTAACTCATTCATGGTAATCAATCAGAAATCATGTTTTGAGTTGTGTCACTTTTGAAGTAAGAGATTCATATATTCTTTAAAATTATTGCACAAATTTTCAATATTCGAATCCTGCGATTCTAATGTAGGATTGTGTTTTCGTCTCTTATCAAAGTTATGACACTTGTCCGTACACATGATATGCTGACACATGTGTCATTTTTCCACAATAATATATTAGCCTTTCGGATCGATTTCCCTTTGTTATCTAAAAATTGCTTTTATGACTTATGTCACTTTTTTATCACAACGCAGCGTTATAATCTAAAAAGTTACAAGTAAAAAAAGTTTCAAGATCAATTTTTATGCCATATCTGCACAATTTAAAAAAATCCAATGTTAACCAAGTATCGTTCAAAGACAACGGGGAGGGGTTTAAATTCGCAAGCGTGCAGTTAAGGACACGCGGACATTGATCCAGAGATCGTTCGGAATCCATTTTGACAGTGCGCATTGGGCGCGCGAGGAGGAAACATAAATTATCGAATAAGACAGGCGAAATATCTGCACCGGGATATCACGCCGTCAACTGGTTAAAGCGCTCGTTTCGGAAACGACGAGACAAGAACTGTCGCGTGGCAGATGCTCTTGGGTTGTGCGTCTTGTTCCATTCCTGCCGAGAGGGCAGAAATGTGTCAACGTGTCCGGCATGAAAGACGAATGTCCCGCGGTGGTTCTCATTAGCAGACCGCACCGGGGGTATCCTGTCCTGCGTCCATCCCTCCGCGCGCGTTTTCCACCCTCTGCCTCTCTCGTTTCCGCCGTAATTTCACCGGCGTGGATTCTCCAGGTGCTCGTGAACGTCAAGGGACGATCCTCAGCTGCCCGCCCACGCTAAACGCCTACCAGTTAATCTTCTCATTCATCCGTACAAAGGTCATGACTAATGACCACGGTATACAAGCACACAATGAGATTTACTTCCTCGTGCCGGACATTTTCCCCGGTTCCGTCCGATACCCGTTGCTAATTTCTTAGAGAGCTTTTGTGTTGCCGAACGAAAAATGAATAAAATTCAGAGAATAAAAACTCGGCAAAGTTTGCTCTGGACATCTGAGAACTTCGCAGGTAACAAACACTCACTGCCATGTAATCGTCAATAGTGGTATTTTGGGACCGACAAAAGGTAAAATATGATCACGTTTAGAATATACAATATATTTACCGCACATTATAACTTACGAAAGGTTACACATTGTAACGAATTTTATATATTACATCGTATTCTTTTATTTACACCGTACCCTCATATATTCAGAGTTATAATCGCCAATAATACTTTATTTCGACCGAAAAAAGATGCAAATAATAAAATAAAATCACACATATTTAGACACATATTTTATCCTACATCCGTCAGCATTTCTGTAATAAATTTTATATTATAATACATCATACTATCCTCGCGCATCCAATAGTATTTTGTAATTAAAAAAAACCGGTAAAATATAATCGCAAATATTTAACATGCATTATTTTATGTTATACAATATGTCTTATAAAAGATTACATTGTGAAGAATTTTATATTACACTTTTTGCGAAGATTGAGATATACTCGTTCCCGATTTATAGCGCGAGAAGCTGAAAACGACTTTTGCACAAGTAACTCAACATATCTCGCGACGCGATCGATATGTCGGGTCGTGTAAGAGGCGAATGAAATATGCAGTGTAGTAGAACATATGTAGTGCCGTTTTATATCATTCATCGCACTTGCCCTTATGACAACATAACGGCATATGAACGGACATGAGTAACGAAGTAATAACGTATTACGTGACGGTATCGTAAACGACATCGATTTACGCTAATTTCCCCCCCCCTCTCCCTCCCCCCTCCCGTGATGATGGAGCTTTGTCGCTTCCCTGTTGCGTGATTCGTCATTGTATAAATCAGTCGAAATTTTAACTGAGAGAAGCAACCAAGAGAAATTTATCGCAGCGTTTATAGTTAAACGTATTCCTCCGCGAGGAAACGAAAGGGGGGAAAGCTCCCGAGACACGCTCCATTGCGCGTTATTTCGCTCGCAGGATGCAGAATGCTATAACGGTGGGAGTCTACGTGTGCAAAACCGAGGGACTGCCTTCCTGACAGATGAAATGGCAGACGTTCTCGCGCAACAGCGGGACGCGCGCGCAGAGAGCGAAAATGATCGCCCGGACTCATCTTAGAAGAGATACGTTTGCGCGCCAGAGCCTCTCGCTCGCCTAGGGTGCCCGATGGGAAACACGGTCGTAAAATGCGCCCGCCACACACGTCTTATCCCTTTCACCACCGCGTACCGGGAGATCGCCGGCCGTATATATTCTCGCCATGACGCTGGCCCCGGAAAAAATTTTAGAAAACTGCAATTTCACGACGATTGATCGTGACGCGTATTTCACCTTCCGAGCCGACCCTAACTTCGAGGCTGACGTATGGTTATCGCCGCCTAACCATACGCGAGCGCGCTGCCAGGCCGGTCGTGGATGTGCCACGACCGATTAGGGACAAACTCGACATTTGACGTGACCAAAAAAGAAAAAAAAAAATACACACCTCCGTACATCGTAACTTTACAAACAAATCCCGATGCGTTCACGTTATTACTTTCAGCTCCGTCGAGCTGATGTCCCAGTCGGCGTAAACTAACAATAACGTAAAACGTTAAATGTTATAACTTTGGCGCTCAACAATATAAATGTAATACAACACGTGGTGTTACATAACAGTTACATTGTTGAGTGCGAAATTGTAACATTGATATTATGCTACTTTTAGTTAGTGTCGACTGGGATGAGCCTGTTAAACCCACTCAATTATATCCCTCCGAAGCTATAAAGTCTCACGAATTCACTGTGCCGTGATCGTTTAGACGACAAAGATTCTGATGAGTAAAGGTAATTCAGCTTCCCCTGTGATGTAATGTGAAAATAAAAAATACATTACATTTGAATTTATTATTAATTCTTAATTCTTGCTATCTACTGTTGTAGCAATGGCCACTTTACACAAAAGTGTCAAATAATTTAATTTTCTTGATGTTACATCTGCAAATTTTGATTGCTCCTTATTAAAATAAACTTCGTAATTATCCTCCTTTATACGAACTACGTCATTTTGGTCTCTTGGAAATTAATTAACGTCTTTTAATTAATATATATCAAATACCTCTCACAGACTCAGCGACTCGGCAACAGATTTTGGTGTCGGCTTCAGAGGATTAAATCAACAATCAATGAGCTTAAGACTAACAGTGTCCGTTTTGTCTCATTTTTCTGCGGCGGTTTCATTTTAACGGATAAAACGACGATTGCGAAAATCGAAGAGAGAGAGAGAGAGAGAAAGAAACGGAAAGGGACTCGCGAACACCGCGCTACGATCGTACATCCCGCCGTAATCGGCGAGACTGTGGTTCGTCCGCGGAATAGATCGCGGTCCGTTTCTCGGGTCCGATCGATCAGGCTGACGTGTGGCGGCCTTAATCGGCAACGCGTACACGGATCGGTACACGCGTCAGGACGCGACGACGTAGTTAACGGCTTCCAGGAATGGTCTTTCATTCCCGTCTCTCTTTCTCACCCCGACTCACGCACTCTCGCTGGCCATATCGAGGTTCCATCTGTGGCTACCGTGCCACGCCGACAGACGTTTCGCCGATCGGCAATCTCTGCCGGATTATTATGCCTGTCCACCGGCTATGATCGCCACGGACACGCCGGTATGCCGGCCTCATTAGCCGTTCGGTGCTCAGCTTAAGCCAATGAATAATGGGCGGCTGCACAGTGCTGCCGCCGTGACTGCCCATATCCACGACAGATTTACCGTCTCCCTTTATTCGGTACGCTCCAGACGTCGGGATCTTTAAAACCGCACGGGTGATTGACGAGTTGTGCGCTTTGCACGCAGGTATGAACCTGTAATTCCACGCGCGCAATTTGCCCTCTCTGACAATCTATTCATTTATTATCATTCCGTTTATTCCGATAGAAGGAATACGTTTATGTAAAATTACTGCTTTAACAAAATAGGTATTATATTTTCAATATTTTTTAAAAATTCATCTTGAAAATTATATTGTATATATATATATTTTTTTTTTTTTTAATTAATAACGCATATCTCTAATTAGGAAGTTTTATACGTGTATAATTCTTAGCAAAAAAATGTTGTAGTTAGTCTACGTATACAACGTGAATATAAACAAAACGCCTGTTAGCAATTGTGATATATTAGCCGCAAATATTAATTATCTTCACCTCTTATTTCAAAAGTGACACAACTCCAAAAATTACGTTTCCTAGAAAAGAGGAAAAAATATTTGTCAGCTTGATAAAAAATTATACGGAACAACAAAATTTAATCCTTTTTTTATATCGCAAAATGTGAACAATCATTTCAGATGTATTTTTGCCTGCCGAACGTTACTTAAAGATGCAAAACACAATAATTTTAAAGATTTTTTATAACATTGTAGCAGCAAATTTTATTTTTAAGTTTCGTGTATCACGCGAAAGTATCAACTTTGAAATGCATTTTATTTCGTTTTGATATGATTTTTCGTTTTCGAGATGTAGCAATTCAAATACATGCATCATTACATGAAAAAAGAGAGCTATTTATATTCAAATTAATATATATCGAAAACGAAAAATGATATTGAAACGAGGCAAAGTGCATTTTAAATTTAAAAGTTGATACTTTCGCGTGATATAAACGAAATTTAGAAATAAAATTTAGTGCTGATCCTACAATATCATAAAAACCTTCAAAATCGTCATTTTTTTAATACCTTTTTGATGCTATTTTTCTCAAAATTGATGTGACAGCCAAATTTAAACAACAAATTCGTATTCAGCATATAAAAATACATCATAAATATTTATACTTGTGTTGCAAAATGATGTTGGACAGTGACTTAATTCTTACATCAAATTAAAAATTTTCAAACTTATAATTACTATATCATGAAAACTAGAACTAAGATTAATTTTTTATTGATATATATCAGCACTACAAAATTAATAAAAATTCGCTTGGTTTTGATGCAGGATACAATTTCAGTATTGATCAGTGTTTTAACTAATCAAATAATAATCGACAATAAAAATTATTCTTAACACAATGACATTTTTTTGTATTTTCGTCCTGTCCCACATTTTCATTTTACAATCTTTAAAAAAATCACTCTTTGAATTGTGACGATTTTTTAGACACCATTTTTTAACTGTAATGATTTTCTATGAAGTTAAATTAGTTTACCTTTGATTGATGACTGATAAGGTAATGTTTTACCGAACTTATTTATAATAATCATAATAATGACGCGAAAATCATGTTTTTTCAGTTGTGTCATTTTTGAAGTAAAAGAGCGATATATTTAGGCAATTGTCGAGAAGAATAGTATGACCGTCACTGGCACGCCAAACTCATTAGCTGTTCGAAGCTGAGTTCAAACCAATGAGTAATGTTCCTTCCCATTGCAGTCGCCGCGACTGCTCGTATTTTTCTACACCGACTTATGGCGCCGGTCGT